CCTGACATCACCACACTGACATACGCGCCGATAGCGGAACTCCTCTATACCCTTGTACACTCCTGACATCACCACACTGACATACGCGCCGATAGTAGAACTCCTCTATACCCTTAAGCACTATTTACATTATCATACACATGCGCGCCGTTAGTAGAATTACCCCTTTATACCCTTAAACACTATTTAGATCATCATACTGACATTATCATACGACATGTACACCTATCATCGAATCCCKGTACACCCATATACACTACTAACATAACCCTACGACATGCGGGCCTAGCCATCGTATATCTGCCTACCTTTTCCGGACTATATTGACCAGGGCCTGGTTTTTGGGTTGGATCTCCGGGCATGAAGTTTCGTCCATTCATCGAGTAAGCGGGTGCGCGACCCTTGAATTTGTTAGGCGATGTGATCTTGTACGTGCCAGGACCGGGAGTCTGAAAAAAGGGATGAAAAATCACTTGTCTTTTAATATAGCGCTTTTAATGCCTTCCATTTATTGAATTTACGACGGAATACGAAGAAAATTCAAAGCGCGCACTTAAGGTGCTGACACACGGTGCAACATTACGTGCAATATTACGTGCAACATTGCACGCAACGGGATTGTTGCAGCGTGTCTACCCCAAACTTGTTGCACACAACGTTGCATGCAACAAATCTGAAGTTGAATCACGCTCTACTCTTGCAACATTGCGCGCAATAAATTACATCAAGTGAACATGGCTGCAACATTACCTGCAACATTTTGAAATTTCCAGCCAATAAGGTTGCACCAAATTTATAACTACTGACCAAATATCTTAACATAGCAGGCTGACACAAGCGATGTTGCGTGATTTTTTTGCATTGTGTGTCACCCCGATTCAAATTTTTTGCTTGCAACGTTGCGTGCAATGTTGCACCGTGTGTCAGCACCTTTTGTTAACGTCTCGATAAACGTTTATCATTGTACCTTCTTTAAGTCTTCACTGAATGCACCGATATTCGATCTTCCTGTCAAAGAATACGCAGCAGCCGAGGCTTTCCCGACGACCTTCGGCCCCGATAGAGGAGGCAAGGAGTAGGAGTTTGGTGCGGGTGTGATGCTGGATTGGTCGTTTTTCGTACGCGACCCGAAAGAGTAGCTTGGAGCTTTCCGTTCATGTGGGATGCTATGCTTCTCTGGCGAGTAATTTCCTATAAAAATAACACAGAACAGACAAAAATAATTAATACAAGTACTTAAAAATATATATTTATGTTGATTTGATTCAACTAAAAGTTGATAGACCTTTTTCAGAAAATTACGTACGCATCAAACCGGGAAATTTGTAATATTTTTGAGTGCAACGAAGTTAAAATAAAACCATTTACTTATGTAAACTTTGTTCTCAATATCAAGTTTAGATTTTAGAAAATATTATCCTGAGTAAACAATCATGATAATGTTGCGAATGCATTTATCAATATTCAGAAGATAAGGACGATAGTAGATTAATTCTGCTTAGTTAGTACCAGGATGATTTCGACTTACAAATGTGGCTATCAACTGACAAAATTGAAAGACAAACTACAAATTAAGTGAACTTTTTTTWAAATAGTTAATTTACTATTAAGTTTTTGTCTCATGTAACTTAGAAGAATCAAAATAAAATGCGCTTGATAGAAATAATAGAATCTGCAGAAACACAGCGAGAGAAAGAGAAAATAAATAGGAAGTGAAATAGTCCAACCTGGACCGGGAGCTTGCGACATGTTTTTTTGACTCGAACGACTGTAGAGTGAAAAAGCAGGTGTGCCATCCTTTCCTCTTTGCGTCAGTCCCGTAGGAATTAGATATTTTGGTCCTGGGCTGGAGCAGTCTGTGAAAATACGATTTCTTTGACCGAAGCTGAAGGCAGGTTTCCTTATTTTCCGTATATCGTGGTTCGTTTGTCCAACACATCCCGGGAGAAGATATTTCGCCGGACCTGGTCCACGGCATCTTGCTTGTATCTTAATTTCCCTCGGACTGACAACGTTTGTCATGTTGATAAAATCTTACAGCAATGTTATTTTCTTATTCGAGCGCTTCGAGGGTTGATGTAGCTCGTAGAAATTTTTTAAAATGAGATCAAAACCCGCGCGAGGAATATGTGCGTGGCGCGAAGCGTGATTGTGACGTCATCCTAGAGGAATTCGAGAAATGGTGATGACGTCACATCCCAATTAACAAAGGAACAAATTAAATTAGAAAGAGAGAATGAACAATTCAAAGGAAGAACACTATCGTAAAAAATTACGCTTCTAAACCTTTTCGTAATTAGATCTGATAAAAATTACACGATTTTTTTACGAATTTTTTGTAGTTTTTTAATTTAATAAAAAAATTATTCTAAAGATCTGGAAGTTTCTGACACAATGTTGATTATTTTTATCTCATTTGGTTTTGATTTAATTATCTTTTTCGATTTAGTTACTTAAGCCGTTATTTCTGTATTCTTTAATGAATGTCTTCGCTCTTATTTTGACTCAAATTTATGGCGGAATGCGATGGAAAAAAAGTAGAGGCCAACAAAATAAAATAAAATGAATAAATAAGTAAATAAAGAAGAAGAAGAAGAAGAAGAAAAAGAAGAAGAAGAAGAAGAAGAAGAAGAAGAAGAAGAAGAAAAAGAAGAATGGTGCTGAACGTTTCTGTACGGAGTTAGTGAGCATAGTTTTTCATAGTGTTTTACACATGAATTACATTTGGATTTTGCATTTTGCAATTAGGAATCCCTATTTATTCGGTAATGTGGTAATTTTTCGGAAAAAGAGAAATTTTAAGCTTTCTCTCCGCTGTTTTAGCGTTGCAAAACTCGTTTCTTATTTTACCACAATATTTCAAGAAATCTTTTCAAAAAGGCAAATAAGAAGTCTTTAACTTCGCTAAGGTAATTTTACGGTATTTTACTAGCTAATGCTATTTCAGAAGATAATATCAAGTCGTAAATCGAAACTTGAATGTGCTAAATAGCGAACAGAGATTTGCTTATTGCGGAGCTCTCATTGTCTTACATCCAAGGATTATCGCCTACTTTGTTAGGGCTTTTTGAGGCAAAAACACAATGAAAATAAGGCCATTATTAATCAAAGCACTGCCGCTAAGTAATGTTTTAATATCTGTTAAGTCTTTTTTCATATATTTGTACATTTGAAAACAAACAAACTATAAAAATGGTATAAAAATGACTTCCTAAAACCTAGCTTCAAAATGGTTTTTCTAGATTTTTGGTATGTATTTTATGTTCTTTTTCTTTGTAATTTTGCTCTGTTGTTGCGTAACAAACAAGCATTAAGAAGCTGTAAATTTTTTTTGCTAATTTGGTGTAAAAATTACTGCTATAGAATTTGAATATTGGGACACACTGTTAATTTAGAAAAAGAAAATTCGAAAACAAGTGCAAAGTAGTTGCAGATAAAAATATTGTTGCGTGAAAGGTGTTTCGGTGTCAAATAATAGATGTTCAAATTTTTGTTTAGGCTGAAAGAACTTAACTCACCAAAAATTAAGGTTTAAAAGCAAAAAAAAAAAACGAATTGCTGTGAAAATTTTTCAGACGTTATATGTTCGTTTATCCAGGTGTCCCCATTGCTTGTAAATGAAAGCATTTCTGTACAGTTCCCGCGTGAACTGCATGTTCGCGGAAAAATTGTACAATAGAGAGCTTAAGAATTTCTTTTACGGCAAACGTAAGGCTTCATTTGACAAACAAGTGGAAAATAATCAAAAAATCTCTAAGTGGTAGATAAATAAAAGGGTAGCTTGCCTTTGTTGGAGGTTTTCAAAAGTTAGAGTGTGAAATGCAGGGGGAAAAACAAAAAAACGTGTTTATGCTTAGTCTGTCTAAAACTAGAATATTAAAAACTCTCGTTGATTCTGACCTGAAAATTGTGTACTTCAAACTTTTTGAAAATATATACTTTACCAACAAAAAATTTGACAGTGTGTATTAATATCTTCAAAGCTCAAACTTGCAAAACTTCAAGTGCGCATTTCAGTAATTTCAAAAGCAGTGTCAGTCAATTTGTTTTGCAAACAATATTTTCGAAATAAATATTTTTCTTATCACTGAGTACTTGGAAAAATACATATTTTAAAAAATCTAGCTTTTTTGTATGTGATAATTTTTCAAAATCTTTGTTTATAAGAACTGAGGTACCTTCACGACCATGAAACTCACGGGACTTTTGGTCAACAAACAGTTTTTCAAAGATCAAAATTTATACTCTAAATTACCTGGACCAGGAGGGCGTAGAATGGTTCTTTTAGCGAATCTATCCGTCCCACCCAAAGAATACTTTGGACTGCCTTCTTTTCCGTTCCTCGTAACCCCTTCAGATTGAAGATAACTTGGACCAGGGCTGCAGTCGTTTGTTAACGCATGGTTATGCTTGATCCCGAAGCTGTAAGCTGGCTTTCTACGTTTACTGACATCGTGAGATACATAGGAACATGTCGTTGGTAGCTGGTATCGTCCCGGTCCTGGACCTCGGAAAGTCGCTCCGATTGGAGGAAGCTTTACACTTTGTGTATCATCCGGCATTTTTTGTTCTTCCTCAGTTCCGACAAGCAAGAATTGTCGAAGACACCTAGAGTGTTCCGGGCTCCCCGACTCCTCAATAATCGGGTATTAAGTTGCCTATGTTTAGGGTACTTAATCGGCTTACTTAAGTTTTTGTTTTGAGCAAAGAGCTGACTTCCCTAGGGAGCTAGCTTAGAATGCATGGTCGTTCTGACACCACAAAAGATTGGCTGAGGTACGTCAGAAGAGAGTGCTACGGAAAACATTCTTTTGCAAAAGTAACGCAATCAAATAAAAAGTCCCATCGTATAACTGATAAATAACCAGTGTGTGCAGTGGATACTGGAAAACCAAAACGTTACTGCATTTTTTATGCCCTCGGTTCGGTTTTCGAGCTGTCAATTGATCACTGAGTTGAATCCCCCCACCCCACCGTTAATCAAAATCTAAGTATGAGTTTTCCCTTCAAAAAAGTCCTTTGATTTAAGCGACTTTCATCACCTCATTTAAGAATCAATAAACGGCTTAATTGTACATACGTACTACAAGAAATTGCCAAATTAAGCTCAGCAAATAATCTCAAAAAAACGCGGCTACTTTGATGCTCAAAGAAAATTCCATGTTTCTTCTAAACTGTATCACGTCTGATATCTCAAGCGAGAATAAAAAGACGACTAAATTAGTTTTTTTTCAATTAAAATCATGAGTTTGACGCATTGAGAAAATGGTTCGGAAATTCTAAAAGGTTTCTATGGTAACTGTGGGCCTACATTAATATTTTAGTCTGATGACGAATACTGATTCAAAGTCATGTCAAACTGAATATATGGGCCAGACTAGAACTCTCCTGTGGTATAAAAATAGCGACGACTCGACCTTTCCAGAAAATAGTATTTTACTAGAAAAAAACGACTCTATTTTGTAGTGAGCTAAATTTCCTCCCATTTCTTACCTTCTTTTCGAACATTTTAAGCAAATTATTATCCATTTAAGATCTTTTTGATATTGTCTTAGCTYTTTTAAAAAGAATATTTAGCAAAAAAATTATTTTTTTGTTTTAAAAGTTTTGCTATTAAGAGTTAAGGAGTTTCAGACTAACCCATTTTTCACTTTTATTCCAAAAATTCAACCAAAAATACAAACTATTAAAAAATATTTTTCTTTGCTTTTTTAAAAAACGTATGCTTAACCAAAAAATTTTTTATTTTATTTTTTTACTATTTGTTCAGGAGTTTCCATACTTGTTTAAAGTGGCGCTAAACGATGATTTTCGGATTAATACCGTTGTCATAGCAACATCTCTAGACAGCTGGTGCGCTGACCAGTATTGTCACCAACAAGCCAGTTAGATTTTCGCTTGGATCTTGCTTCCATATACCTTATTTACTTCAACTGAGCACAGAAATTATTGATAGTGGCTGGGACGATATCACCAAAAAGAAAAAAGTCGGGATTTTTAAAAATGGCGTGACTGATGTCAATTTCGAAAATTGGAACAAGTAATCAAAGGAAATCGATTCCAAAGTGAGATAAATTGAAATATATTCACTACGGTCGATCCGCTTGCTGTCGATGCAAATTAAGCTTATACCTGCAAATCTCTTCTGATCGTATAATCGAATGTATAGTGAAATTATTTTATATACAAAATGACTTTTCTTCGACTTCAAGTTCAGGCCGTTTTGGTTGTTATTGTCGTTTCGCTTGAGCGAAGCTCTTCGGGTTCTCCAAGGTATTTCAACATAGGTGCTATGCTCTCTTCTCCAAATGCCGAACAAATCTTCGACGATGCTGTCAGAAACATAAATTATAACTCTTCATTGTCTTTGAATGTTGTGCGATTGAATTCAACATCGTATGTTTTGAATTCAAACCCTATTCGATCAGCTTTGGATGTTTGTGAAAGAGTTATCTCAAATCATGTTTATGTGATATTGGTAAGCCATGAAAAAGGACAAAAAACGCCACCAATTGCCGTTTCCTACGCTTGTGGCTTCTACAAAATACCAGTTATAGGAATAACCGCGAGGGAGTCTATATTTTCCGATAAGGTATGTCTTAATGTTCTCTATAAATACAACAGATAAAGTTCTCTGCAATGAATGAAATTTTGATTTCAAAACCATAAGACTTATTCAGTTAGCTATTGTCAGTATTATATCACAGAAAACGTTCTGAAATTTAATCTTATGTAATACAATATTTACTGTACAGAAAGTGATATTTTACTATATTCTCCCACTTTTATTGTTTGTACTGATAATCGTATAGCTAGTGTCCCTTTTTTATTTAGGGATTTCTCATTTTCTCGTTTCCATAATTAGATTTTTTTAGATTAATTCAGCGATTTTTCATTTTCATCAAATTGTGTATTTAGCACTTGGTCATAAAGATGTGCTTATTTTGTCCCTTCATCACCATCATCTTTACCATTCTCCTACCTGACTCATATAATATTATTATCATCAACATCAGTACATCATGCATGCACAAATGCATCATCCTGTCGCCAGAAAGAGGAAGAGGAATAACTAGTTTCTGAGGAGTTTTAATTTTCAAGCAGATTTGATACAAATAAATTTCTTAAATGCTGAGTTTTCAAAGGGAATCCCTGTTGTGAAGTTGTGCCATAACATGAGTATAATGGCCATAGATCTTTAAAGTTTGCCCCCACATGATATATACTTGACTTTCATATAGTACAATAAAAAGCTTATGCAACATATTCTAGAGAATTTAAAAAAAAGTTAATCTAGTATGTCAACAAGGTATGTCTCATATTTTTTGATGTGATACCTAAATTTTACRCTTCATATATGCCTGTAGGTACATAAACTTAAAGTCTTGAAGTGATACGGCATGTATTCCTTTGATTAGGCTTATTTATTATCTCGTTGTTATGTTTTGGAAATTCTCGTGGTAGTGAACTATACAGTAAACCATCTTTAATGTATGGTTGTTCCTGTAAATCTATTAGTACTTATCGTCAAGAAGTACTGCCACGGGTGTCTGTGGTTGGACTTGGATTTTGAGGTTTAACGTCAAGTGTTAGGGGAGTACAAAAAGACATAGTCAAAGTGAATTTTGTCTAAATGTAGATTTTAGATAAACAGATTAATGGTGAAAGCTAGAGTTTTAGCGACCACAGTGTGGTYCAACTTAAGCCATTTTACTTGTCTTGTGTAAACACTGTCAAATTAAATTTATTTTTTTGATAATTATTATTTTCTAAATAGAGGGGGAATTTTCTGATTTTTATTTTTTATTTTTGTCATCTTAAGAAATTTGAACACATAAATTATGTATTATATGGTAAAACTAGAAAATTCAATGATAGGAAGCTGTCAACAGTTAGAGCTCAATTATTTAAGTGATGTTAAATACATTATTGTTAGAGAACATTCTGAATACAGCTATTTAAAAAATGCCAAAGAGGCAAACGGAAAATGGGGATCGATGATTTGTAATTGCACACTATCGAAAGGCACAGTCAACATGCATTTAAACACAAATAATTAAGTTTTAAATGGTTTTGGTCCACTATGTGAACACTAAATATCTCAACAACAACATCCGTGTTTATTAACAAGAATAATGAGAAGAAATACAAGTCATTCCAGCTATTCTTGTATCTTGGAATAACCTATTTCCTACTCTCGTTGCCTATCCCTAGCTTATTAGCGACCTTTAGGTCCRATGACGAGTACAAGATCGAGTACAAGTACGAGTTTTAAAATTGGTCCTGTGCTCGTGGTTAACACTGAATTGTAGTTGATTTTCAATTTTTTACAATCTAAAGTTTCAAACTACGTACACAATCAGGACTACGAAATGATAGTGCCTCTCTTTAAAAGTGAAAAAAACTCATACTTGTACTTGTTCTCTTTCTCGTCGTTGGATCTAAAGGTCTCTATTTACCTGTCATTGTTGCCCCTTCAACCTTTTTTGAAATAGCTGTATACTAAAATGTGTTAATGAAACTGAAAGGAATTTTTGCTAATACATTGCTAATAGATTGCTAATAGATTATCATTTTTTAATCCAGACAATTCACGAGTCCTTCCTCAGGACGGTTCCACCATATTCAGAACAAGCAGATGTTTGGGTTGGAATTTTGAGCCATTTCAAATGGAACAAAGTTATATTATTAACAAGCAATGACCAGGACAGTCGTGCTATAGTGACGAGATTCACAATGATAGCAGAGAAGAACAATATCAAGGTAACATTTTAGAACTGAATAAATAGAGGTTATTACACTGCTAGTTATATGTATCTAATATTGAGCCAATCCTGTGCAGTATTTAAAGCAACTTATGCAGCTGCTAATTATAAGACTCAGAAAAAACTCTGAGTCTTGAACAGGATTTGAATCTGTACCATGCTCTAACCATTGAGCTACCAAGTCTGCTAGTTGTCTATTACTTAACAATTATTCGGCGAAGGCGAAGTGATTATCGGGGAATATTTACCGAGACATGAGTCTTCGAGTGGCGAGGTAAATATTCCCCAATAATCACTGAGCCTGAGGCACATAATTGTTTTAGTATAAATACGCAGGTGATTCTTTCAAAAAAAGAAAAAAAAGAAGATAAAAGGCATTTTTTTCCCGGTAACAGCAACAAAGTGGCTGGCTGCATTTTGGATTTTCGCTTGAGGTGTTTATTGTGTGATAGTGTAAGTTTCTTGACCAATCAGCGCATGAGATTTTCTATAATCACCTGTGTATTTTTACTAAAAACTGATAATTTTAAGAGTGAAAGTGGCCATATATTTTTGAGTCCCGCCGCGGTAAAACGCATCAAGATTTTGAGATGCGTGTCTAAAAATGTATATTATTATTATTATTAAAATTATCCGGCGTTAATAATTCTAATAACATTTATTGCTTATTGTATGGCACAAAAAACTGAGAAAGAGTGCATGAAAAACAACCTTTTTTATTGTACATAAGCAAACTTGAAAGTCACAAACTCAAACCACTGAAGTGAGCCACATCAGCAAAAAAAAAGCTCAAAATTTCTTTTTTTTTCTTTCCCAGATTGAAAAGACGGTGATGTTTCCCATGGGATTAACAAATGTAACATCTTACTTGACCAAAGTACGGTCTTCTCAATCAAGAGTGATTCTTTTTAGTGCAAGGTAAATATACAACAGCTATTTCAAAAGAAGGTTGGTGAAGGCTTTGTATGTTGCATGTCGCATATCAAGCCCGAATTGCACTATGGACAATGTGGACCATCCGCAACCATTTGAAATTTTCCTAAGAGTCTGCACGTTTTTCCAGTATATTTTCTTCTGCACTGACACTATTTACATAAATGATGAATGAGCCGCTATAAGGCTGAATGGGCTATGACTCATAGACCATGAGGGCAAGAGGTCCAATTGTTTCAGTATAAACCTACAAATAGGTCAAATAAGCGAATACAAATAGTTAAAATTACGTTGAAATTTTTGCATTGTTTTTGCTTTCAAATCTGCAACTGTACTTTTCACTACTAGTGGTTTATGACTTCAAATGGTTCTGCCGCCTCTGGTATACTCCATAGGCCTTTTTTGAGCTAGCAAACATGTTGCATTGTGGTCTAGCTTGGGTACAAACAAATGTGTTCATCAATAGACAGTTTTCTCAAGGTTGTGTGTGCATCCAAATTTAAGAAACTTGACGGGTCACAATACCAGAACAGGAGCTTATAATGAGACTTAACATACATTGCTAGGATTTTTTTTCAATTAGAATTCATAAAATTGATTTTCCTCTTTAAATCTAAAACTGGCTTCTCAATTTTACTGAATTCGTGTTTTTTAATTTGGTTGCCCATCAAGTTGGATGCGCATGCAACTTTGAGAAAACAATCTATTCTTATGTGGTGTTTTTTTTGTAATAAACTTGTCTTATTGTTCTTTATTTTTATTTTTGTGTCATGAAGTGGTTCAGATGCAGCTGTTGTGTATCGTTATGCATCATCTCTCTCCATGCTGGACAAAGGATTCATTTGGATTGTCACACAACAAGCAATGTCTGGAACAGCCAAGCCTAAGGTACCACAAGGTAAGTTTACTACCTATATGATCGTACTTGTAGGGGTGGGGAGGGTAAGGCACTGTCTTAAAACCTTAAAAAAATTGGTAACCTGAAACAACCTCTGAGCAGATGTAAGTCAAGGCATGCCTAACTCACATATCAAACCCTGAAACAACCTCTGGGCTGATCTAAGTCAGGGCATGGCTAACTCACAGAT